AGAGAATATTAGATGTTCATTTTGATGTTGAAAATAACACTGGGAGAAAGCTTCAGCATAATGTGACCAGCCACAAATCTCCCCTTGCATCATACCATTGGTAAAGACTTGCACCTTTACTGCGTTTTGGTATCGGCGAGTGCAAGTGAGCATTAACATCTACATTACCACACTGCAAACCCTCGGCCAACATCCCTCCCCCTCTCAACAGCCAGGGGGCTATTGGCTTTAGCTCTGCATTTCCCACTCACATTCGGGGTGTATAGGGGAATCTATGTTCAAACAAACCTGTGAAAGAACTCTCCAAACTCGGCTGGCATTTGCTGTACTGCTGGGAAAAACAAATTTTAAAACTCTCTATTGACATGTCACGTGTTAATTAGGGCTGGGCGATATGTAAAAAATATCTTATCGATAATCACCTTTAAAAATATCGTGATATCCGATAATATCGTCTACCTAAGCCCCACCTCCACCACGCCCCGCCCCCACAGAGACAACATTGCCGACATGCACCATGAACACGCACCATGTTCAGTTTGGTCTTCATTATTGCCACAAAGTTTGGTTTTACTTTTCTTAGTTTGCTTAAACTAACAGAAAACATTAACTTTGCTGTTATTTTGTGTTGCTAATAATTTTCACTCTGTTCTTATCAAATTTGTGTTTGAAATTAATTTCGTTTTGTGAGGAGAACTGTTGAGGAAAAATAATAGAACCCAATTTTAAGTTCATCATGGTGAAGTTGGACATTCTGGCGGTGATTGTAAGAATGATAAATGCATGTTGATGTCATATAATAATGTCTTGTATAAAATATGCCTATTTTCCGTTGTTTCTCTTTCTTTTTGGCATTAGACATGTGTAGACATTTCATGATGGTAAGATTAATTTCCTTAATTATAACGATTGCAGAGTTGTTTTTAAACTTGTAGTCAAGCTATAATGTATTTGATATTTATCATGTATGGCTAAAATCATGCAGGGATTAAAAACAAATTCTGAGCAAAAACGTTAAGGTTTTGTTTTTCTTCTTTCTGGTAGCCTACTAGTTTGGAGGTCTCTTTTGGCCCGTTTTAACTAAATAAAAATAACTGCTTTATTTATTTATAAGCAGTGTAATTTAAATTTAATATTTGTATTGTAATTTTTATTTTATTAATCAAAACACAACGACCACAATATAATTCCAGTTATAATTCCAATTCCAGTGTTGGGCTGCCGAAACTCTGAACGCGCGCAAGTTGAGGGGTGAGCTGAGAAGCCTACTAATGTCTTCATCCGTTTGCAACAAAACTTCATAGTTTTGTTGCAAATGAATTAATAATTTATAGTGCTATATCTCAGCTTAATTAAACATAATTATATTGTATACACGGTTTTTAAAAATCTGTAAAAATATTGCACTGAAATGTGCTCTCAAGGAATTTGTGTATTTTAAATTATACCTGTCATGTTTGTGGTTTTTCATTATTATACAGTCTGTTTAAATAAATATTCAGAAACACACGCAGTGCTACTTTTAGTCTTTTTTTCGGTTTAACTCTTTATGTTCACTTGAGACATAACGATTGTATTTATGGGATATTTTGAAATAATTCTGTGTGTATTTGTCCATTCAAATGTGTAAGAATGCGAGAAAGAGAGCTCAGTCCAGTGTTCGTGTATATAACAGGCGGCTTTTGTGCGTGCGCTTTGTGTGTGTGTGTGCAGCACAGAAAACAGCGCGCGAGTGCAGAAGGGAGTTCTATTTCGTCTTCTTGCTGTTGAATCTCTTGAAATCACAATAAATGCGCATACAGGAATCGAGAAGCAGAATCGAAATTTAATTTTATAACAAGTAATTCAATTCCTGACCTTACGCATCTAATCTGATTTCCAAAATTGGAATAGCTTTTCGATTCCCAACCCCCCTACTAAATTATTTCATTCTTGTATGCAAAAAAACCTGTGACTATGGGGCTATGCAAAAAATATTTGTTATCATATAATGTTCATCAATCGAAATGTAATTTTATAACAAGTCATTTGATTCCTGACCTTACGCATCTGATTTGATTTCCGAAATTGGAATAGCTTTTCGATTCCCAACCCTCCTACTAAATTATTTCATTCTTGCATGCAAAAAGACCTGTATGGTGACAATGGGGCTATGTAAAATATTTTTTGCAATTTACTAGGTTTATCATTTGTCATTTTTTCCCGATAATATCGATAATCGGCATCACGATACTTACGAGACATCGTCGATATACGATAATATCGTCATATCGCCCAGCCCTATTGTACACATTTTACTATTAAGACTTTTTCCAAACTATAATTCCTGACTAAACGTATAATCAAGTGAAACATTATGAAGTAGGCTATGTTTCATTCATTGCATCTAAATGTCTCACGATGCCAGGATGTTTTTTTAATGTTCTATAAAATGGAAAACAATACGATATAAAAGTAATATGGGTGTTGTTTACACTGTAGGCTACCACTACGAATTTTAGAGTAAGAATGTTTAGACAAAACTTTACTGTGATATACTCTGTTCACGAATATACAGTTGTGCTCATAAGTTTGCATACCACTTGCAGAATGTGCAAAATGTTAATAATTGAAACTAAATAAGAGGGATCATGCAAATTGCATGTTATTTTTTATTTGGTAATGTCCTGAATACGCTATTTCACATAACAGATGTTTACATATACTCCACAACTGTAGTCAACAGGCTTTTCAAAATCCAAAATATTGCCAAACAGGCGCTTTTGCATCTCGTTTCGTTAACCATATTTGCCTCTCAGATATGACTAATAAAGAAAAATATGTATATCACACAAAATTCAAATTATGCTATAAATCAGCTCTAAAAAGACAGTAGTGTCATTACTCAGCTCAAGTCATTCAAGTGTTGACTTGATCAATAACCGTGCTTAATTATTAATTATGAGTACAAACAAAGGCTATAGATGTTTCAATCCTATTACTTATGAATGCGCAATATGGTGGAATAGACCCGCCTTCTGAATAAAACAGCGAGTCACTGCTGAATATGAGATGTTAAAATATCCAAAGTTCGTTAAATTGTAGAAACTTGGTGACGTGTCTGATTAAAACGCTGGGAAAACACCAGTCCTTTGTTCTCTTTTATTCCATTGGATTGTAGAAGCATAAATCTTTAGCAATTCACACGACATGAAGTTCACAAAGGTCACTGATTTGTAAAGTCATTGCGTCACTGCAGCTGCCGTTAGAAACTGTGGTTCCCATAGAAACCTGAGAACCTTTTTTAACGCCATTTGAGTACAAGAAACAACATTTATGGGGCAGTTAATTTCAGATTTTGTAAATACAAAGTAAATACAAAATGCAGTTTTTAAATGATGATTTCATTTATTAAGGGAAAAAAGCTCATGTATCAGTCTGGGAAGGCTTATAAAGCCATTTCAAAGGCTTTGGGACTCCAGTGAACCACGATCAGAGCCATTATCCATAAATGGAGAAAACTTGGAACAGTGGTGAACCTTCCCAGGAGTGGCCGGCCTACCAAAATTACTTCAAGAGCGCATCCAGGAGGTCATAAAAGAACCCAGAACAACATCTAAAGAACCGAAGGCCTCT